CCAGGTGCCGCCCTTACCCAGGCGTGTGGGCCCAGGTGCCGCCCTTACCCAGGCGTGTGGGCCCAGGTGCCGCCCTTACCCAGGCGTGTGGGATCAGGTGCCGCCCTTACCCAGGCGTGTGGGCCCAGGTACCCCCTTACCCAGGCGTGTGGGCTCAGGTACCCCCTTATCCAGGCGTGTGGGCTCAGGTACCCCCTTACCCAGGCGTGTGGGCTCAGGTACCCCCTTACCCAGGCGTGTGGGCTCAGGTACCCCCTTATCCAGGCGTGTGGGCTCAGATGCTGTCCTTACCTGGGTGCTGGAAGAGAGCATGAGCAGGGCTATCAGGAAAAACACTTGTGACATCCCTCAGTCCTGCAGTCAACGCTGGGAGGGGGTGTGGGGATCAGGGGATTCAGCTCATTGATGGGGCTTCATCTGGACACACCACATGGCCTGGACCAGAGACACTACAATCAGTCTTAATATCACCATCATACTCAGTCTTAATGTCACTTTCACACAAGTTATTAATGTTACCAACACAGGTCACTGTTAGTATCACTATTCCTTATGCGTGTTTCTCAACCTGTTTGTAGTATATTGCGGCAAACACAGACACAGGACACTCGTTTACTTTGTCTTTACCATGTGCCCTGTGACATATACTGCTGTACTGCATCTTCGCTGGCATTTAGCTCCACTGCCCCAGGCTGCAGAGCCTGGAATTTGTGTTTAATGGAAGTAAATAGAACCAGGAATTTATGAAAGAGGATCAAAATTGCAGAGAAATTCGAATGAAAACAAACAAAACAGAAGATAAGGCTAAACATCAAACCAGAAATAGGCAGTTCAAACTGATGAACGCGGTTTAGTGTGACTCTTCCCCTCACAGTTTATGCTCTGCTGCGTGCGCCTGCATCTCCCATGGCAACCATCACCCACCTTTGGTGTCTGTCAGGATCTGTGGCCGAAGTCGGAGAACGGAACGAAATCTGAAACGTTTCTGCAAAAAACACCTGGATTGTGGAAACATTTTTGGCTAAAACGTTTCAAATTCCATTCTGTTCCAGTCTCCTGGCTGGGGGCATGTGTTCATGGCAGTAGTACCCACCCCACCTACAAACCTCCCTGCATGCAGTTCACTCTGGCCAAGAGACGCCTGCATCCAATTGACAGTCATAGAGAGTACTGTCAGAGTATCAATAAACACGACCGATGTAGAGTTGTGGGTGCAGTGAATTTCCAAAGCTGTCCTTGTGAAATGGATGCACACAAACACAAGGAAAGTTCATCATTTCCAAATGTCACATGACTGTTCCCTGAACAAAGGCAAACCGGAACCATTTCACTTTGCTACGTGCTTAACCATCATCCAATCACACATTACTTAGCAGGTAACTGCTCTTCTCATTGGTCCCACAGTGTCACATGACTCCGTTCGATGTATTAAAATGGTATCAGCAAATTCAGCAGGTTGCAAGCTGAGAGAGTGAATGCTAAGGTTCCTTGGTGAGGTCACATCTCCGTGACGGACAAAGCAGTCTCATGTAGAAATCAACACCCCCCCTCACCGAGCGCTTACCATGGTGATAATGTGAGGGACCTAATCGCAGCCCAGGGACAAAAACTTTATTTTTCTAAGTGAGACCCTTGTACAATGTGTGATTGCCTAGGGATGAAGCTTCCGTGTGAATTCCTTCAATTCTGAATGCAGCTTATCCTCTTCCAGCTAATTCCTTTCCAGCCAATCCCGTTCAATCTAATCTCCTTCCAGCCGAACCCCTTTTTACTTAATCATACTGCATTTAAACATCCAATTGCAAAACATATACACACATGTCTGGTGGTTGAATCATGGCAAATGGACTTCTTTCTTGTAAGGTAGAAACGTTTCACTGCTCATCCAAGCAGCTTCTTCAGTCTGAGGAAGGTTGTACTGTAAGTGTCCACAAATTTATCCTCCCGGGTAGTTCCACTTCACACCTGCCCTGAGTAGGCTCGTTGAGTGACACAAAAGGGGGAGGGGAGGAGTTGTGGGTAGATGTAACAGTCACACCTTTAGCAGTTCACTACCTCAGACAGGCCATTTATCTCAGAGACACACTCCCAACATGAGTTTAGTGTGTACACTACCTCAGAAAGGTCAATTAACTCAGAGACACACTTCCAACATGAGTTTAGTGTGTACTCCACCTTGGGTAAACAATTCAACTCAGATATCCAGTTTGTTTCTTTAGCGGTAAGACTGTACCCTCACAAAGTGACACACAGTCCATAGAAGCTGAGGACCCAAAACGCCTAGCCAACCTTTAAAGTCAGACAGGGAACATGAAAAATACAGCGAAGAATAAAACGTAACAGCCTTATCCAGTACAGTGGGCTCGATCTTATGATCTTCTGCCGTTTTTTCCTTGTGACCCAAAGGTGTCAGGTTGTGACCATCTCTGTATCCTTGAAAATATATTGAACCATCTGAGGAAGTATTCAGCTCTGGAAATACAAAATGAAAAATCATCCACACAGAGTGGTGGAAATGAAATGAATCTGCTCGTCATGATAGGTTATGTGACTGTATCGCAATGATTATAATATCAGATCAAACGGACATCAGAGTTGGCAGTATGGGCACACTGCTGGTCCCAGGTCAGCAGAGTGTGACGCCTCCCAGGCCTGGATACATGCTGCGATATGATGCGGAAGGGAGTCGTACAGCTGCTGTATCCTCTTCTGTGTGCAAGTTGGCCCACAGCTGATGTAACTGGATCTCGAGATGCTGCAGATTGACATTGGGTCTGAGTAGATATCCAAGCTGATCCCACACATGTTCCATTGGGGAAATATCGGGGGACCTGGCTGGCCACGGGAGGACCTCAACATGACACAGGCAGCCCATAGACACACGTGCCATGTGTGGACGGGCGTTGCCTTGTTAGAAGACTGCACCAGAGTGCTATCTCAGGAGGGGTAAGACATACGGACACAGGATGTCACTGATGTTGCACTGTGCTGTCAGGGTTCCCCAAATCACTACCAGAGATGCCCTGAAGTCTCCCCAAATCATGATGCCAGGAGTACCACCAGTGTGTCTCTCCACAACATTGGCAGGATTGGTCCTCTCCCCTCGGCGCCACCAGACACACACGACGGTCATCCAGGGTAATGCAGAACAGAGATTCATTGCTAAACATGGTATGACGCCACTCGTCACCAGTCCATGACTCAACAGTTACGGCACCACTCCAAACGTAGCCGTTTCTGCGCTGGTGTTAACGGCAGCCTACGCATGGGATGGTGAACTCATAGTCCGGCTGATGCCAGTCGTCGAAACACGATGTAGGATGACACAGGGTGTTGTAGAGAGTCCAGTACATGTATCTGGATGGCAGGTGTAAATGTCATGGAGTTCTGTAATGATTGATGCACATTACAACAATCCTCCCTTGTAGTGCTCTGTCTTGGGCGACCGGAACCTTCATGACGTGTGCTGGTGCCCTCACGGGCCCATTGGTTCCAACATCAGGTGACTGTAACATCTGTATGGGCCACATGCTGGCTAATTGCCGACATGACCACCCAGCCTCATGAAAACCCACAATGTGACAGAAACTCCATCAAGTGCTGGTAATGCTGTCTAATGCGTCTATGAGACATCCTCTGTGTCTGGTGACTAGACGTGCCAGCTCCTTGCAAACTGAATCATTTACATACCCATCGCTGGTCTGCACGTGTACCAAATTACATCCAAATTGGACCATTACTTCTGGGTGCTTAGCTTTTTTGTGTATATTGCTAGGTAATATTTCAAGCAGAGCTCATTGATTAATGACTATACTGTTTGGCTCTGTGTGTTTTGACTTTATGCCTGTGACCAGAATGTTGCCAGTTCAACTCCTATGGTCAGCAGAGTAATTTCACCATTCAGCCCTTAATCCAAATTGCTTCAGGGATTAGCTGACCCAGCTCTCTTAAATGTATGTTATTTTGGTTAAAAGGTTCTGCTAAAGTAAATGTAAAACACACACAGCATGCTCATGCCAAACTCACACATTCAGAAGAATGGAAAAGAAAAATCCATCAATGCTAGTGTTAGCCTCGAGTTCCAGAAAGCCCTTCGAAGTTGAGATCAGACAAAGACAGAGTGTAAACAGAGGGGCTGTAAACACAGGACCCTCTCCATCAGCTCCACAGTCGTCGAGGCATCCTGGGATTCGTCTCACTCTGGGATGTCTGACAGTAACAGTCTGGGCAGGGTCGGGATCGCACAATGTGAAGACAGGAGGGCGTCGTTTGCAGAAGGAGGAGACTGGAGGGGGACTGAGGGGGGAAGGGCTGGCTGCCTGTCCTCCCCCCAGGCAGTTGTAGCGTGTTTCCAGGAAGGTGCTCCAGCCATAACCAGCTAGTCAGGAGTATAGCTCTGGTGGCTGGAGAACTTCATATCTCACTAGTGTTATCAAAACAGCCTTAAAGTAGCCTGAGCCTATCCCTCATTTACTGACCGTTTGATTAGCCTGTCAGTTAAAGCTCCTTATTAGCTATCCATCCAATGACCAATAAGTAATTTGTTTGCCTAGTCATTTCATAATTGATTGGTAGTAAGTCGTCTGTTGTTCTGTGATGTCACGCAGTTGATGTATAGCAGCTGTTCCTATTGGTTTCTTTATGGGGTACCTGGTGATTTGTTTGCTTATGGTTATCAGGCTCAGACTGGGCCTTTACACGGCCATGCCGTTAGCAGTGTGGCCGAGAAGAGTTCACTCACATCCCCACTTGCACACTCTGACTGTGGTCTCTCCTCCCTGGCGTGACTAACATCCAGGGACGTGATCTGTGGAGGAAGGATATCACACTAGCAACAAAGACTGCAGGTCCTGAAAGCCTGAACTACTAATACGATGCCTGCATGAGTCGCTGCTGTGATGCACTGCAGGCGAACTTCTGATGATCTTGAGCCAAAGTCAGCAGATCAGGGAGCTGACAGGAAGGTGCCCCTGGAGGCAAAATAGAAGGATGGTCCTGGGGTATCTGCCCGGCCCATGACGTGAGAAGCACATGTCCGATGCTTTCATGTCTGCAATATAGACACCATGACGAATCCACATGAAATTCAGTCTGATCACAGCAGAGAAAATTATCTTCACTGGAGAAGCGGATGCTTGTCTGGGCTTTGAAATTCATGTTGTGATATTGGGGAATACAGGCAGATGACACATTAATGCTGATGCTTTGAGGGAGGTACTGAGATGGGGGGGGGGGGCTAGCTCTCACCAAGATATCTGCTGGGTCCTCCGGGAGCTATTAGGAATTATTCTAAAAAGTTCTTCATAATGTCTAACGAATAATTGTCAGAAGTGCCATGTGGTGCGAATAGATCCTCAGTTTATTTCTAAAGCGCATCTCTTTGGGCTCCGCCTTCTCCGTGCTGGTCTTTAGGCCACTTCCTGTATGCTGTGGAT